AACTATTACATCACCAAGTTACACAAGCAGATAGAACAACAACAAAAGCAATAACAACAACGAACAAGTAGATAGAACAAAAATAACAACAATAATGAACAAGCAGAGAACAAACAAATTAACTGCGCATACATTTTTCATAGAATGAAAATAAGCTCAAACTGATGAAAAATCATAATACACAAGTGTCCACAAACAAGCTCAATGACAAAAACCATGCAAGCTTATCCTCATATGTCAAGCTCATCCACAAATCACATCACATGTTTTTTCCAATGGAGAAACCAACAAATATTACAACGATACATACTAGAAACACTAATATTGTAAACAATGAACCTAATACAAAAGCATGGATGGAGGAAATAGCAGTTTCCCTAAGTTTTTCCTTGTCCTCATCCAGATTATGCCTCGACGGAAGTATTTGTTGTTGAAATTGAACAGGCCTTGAGCTATATGTTGGATCAAGAGTGATGGTGTGCTTCTCCCATTCAAACAAAGCCTCTTCGTACGTTGCATACCCTTTGTAGGAGGCATTTGAGAATTTATCAACTTGAGATTTGCATTCTCCCAATTATCGAAAAATGCCACATCGTCGACCTCTCTTCATAATATAAACTAATTCAAGATCAAGCTTCATCCACATCCAACACAAGCTTATTGAAGATCTAGACATCTTGGGTATATTTTTAGTTTAGGTGTTTATACTTGTGTGTTAATACTTTAAGCTCAATATCACACATACACACAATTCTTGTTTTTGAGTGATTTTTAAAAAATATTGAGTTATTAGTTTTTAGACTTAACAATCATTATATACATCTTTTATTAGTCTATAAAATCATTTTATAAGATTTCAAAACATTGTTTAACTTAAAAGTCAAAAATCAAGAAGTTTATATACACATGTATTTACAAGTTTTGCAAAATAGTAAGTTTTCACAAATACTAACTTATATTTCAAAAATTCCTTCTTTAACATGTTTTTTACATGTTTATAAATATTTTCCAAAGTTTTATTAATTTTGGAGTTAATTTGTTATGTCAAATTGATTTTACAAAATCAAGTGTTTTCGTAGTTTTTAGAATCTGAAATATTTATGTTCAAACATTTATTTCTCATAAATGGGTAGTGATATTTCAAAAATTCTTTCTCTAACATGTTCATCTACATGTCTAGAAACGTTTTCAAACTTTCATGATTTTTCAAAATGGGTAGTGATATTTTCAAACTTTCATGATTTGTAGAGTTGATTTACTATGTTTAATTGATTTTACAAAACCATATACGCAAATTTTCAGAATCTGCCAACACTGTTCCAACGGCTATAGCATTAGTCACCCGAAACTATTGTTTAGTCGACTGATTGGAATTTTTCCAAATAATGGCTAGTTTTTTTTTTGTTTTGTGTTTTGGGTGTTTTGCCTCATTTTTTGGGCTGTTTTTTGGCCTTGGGGTATTGTCTTGAGTTCTTATAAATACCACTCATCTGTCAACACTAAGACCTATCCAAGAGAAAGTTTTAAACAAGTTTAATAAAGTTTCTAATAGAGTTTAAGGGTTTTAAAGTTTGGTTATAAGTTTGTTTGTGAAGAAATTTTCACAAGAGCATGAGGAGATCATCATTTGTGTTTGGGCTTTCAACTCATCTCCCTCCCTCTTATCATCTTTAGAGAAGTATTTCTAAACTCAATCTAGTTTTACATTTATATATAATTGTTTGATTATTAAGCTAGAGTTTATATTGAGTTTAGTTTTGATTTTATTCTCTTTGTTACACACAACCCGCTTGAGCTTTTGGTATTTTCATACATAGCATATTTGGGGTTGTGAGATTATGACATTGAGAGTGGGCTTATATTGTGTTCTCATCCATTGTTAGAGAATAAATTAACATTTGTATTGTGCTTAATTATGAGATTCATTTTGTAATACACTTGTACACCGAGAGAGGTGTGTGGTGAGAGACGGGTTCGGTTCCAAGAGGAGTGGCGTCGATAGTAAAGCCTAGAGAGGTCGTAAATCCGAGCACTTGAGGAAGGACACGAACTAGAGACTAATTCTTAGAGGGTGTAAAGTGTGATTGTAAGAGTGTGTATTGTGAAAGTTTTTGGTGAGCTAGAAAACCGAGATTGTGTTGTTGTAAATGTTTTTTGGTTGAGCGTCGAAAACCCGATTGTGTAGTGGATTCTTCCCGAGAGTGGGGAGCAGAGACGTAAGTCAGAAGGACCGAACTCCGTGATTATTTTCTTGTGTTTGCGTTTGTCTTAACGTAAGAAGACTTTTTGGATTGTATGCTCTAATTGGCTAAATCTAGTAATAGTGATAGCTTTAAGATCAACTTAGCGGTGAGAATGTTGGGAGCACCATTGGGAGTGTTATTGAAAGGTACTTAGTTCAGTTGAAACACTGCTTCCATTGGAGATGACGACGGTGAGGAGTGAGTTTCTCTATATGTATTATGTTTTGTAGGTTGGTCAGAAGACTTTTTGGATTGTATGCTCTAATTGGCTAAATCTAGTAATAGTGATAGCTTTAAGATCAACTTAGCGGTGAGAATGTTGGGAGCACCATTGGGAGTGTTATTGAAAGGTACTTAGTTCAGTTGAAACACTGCTTCCATTGGAGATGACGACGGTGAGGAGTGAGTTTCTCTATATGTATTATGTTTTGTAGTCGGATACATGTTTTTAGACATTTATAGACTTTTGGATCATGTTCGATATGTATGCACTTGTGGAGTTGTTTTTATATTTGATTGTAGTATGTGTTTATTATTTTATTGCTTTGTGGATGGATATGTGAGATGCGGGTTTATGTATTACATGTGACTGTTGGATTTGGAGATATAGTTTGAATGTTGAATGTATATTATGGTTTGACAGCTGGATATGAGGATGTGATTTCAATCTATATACATGATCATTGTATGTATTTGTGTGCGGGGAGCTAACTGGTTCAACCAATTGTTTTCATCCACTAACAAACATGGGTGATGGGGTAAACCATCATCAATGGCCATTGGTGATGGGTGCATAAAACATTGTTCACAAGGTAAATCGTCATTAATACCCATTGGTGACGGGTTACCCCCCTCTCCCGATCACCAATGTTTGACCATCACCAATAGTGCCCGCGCCAATGTGCATTTTTGAATTTTTGGATTTTTTTAGTAAATAGAATATAAAATTTGAGAATATATTACCAATTGGGTTTATAAATAACTCACAATGGGTACTTTAAGTGTATGGATATTTATGGAAGTGGACGGATTTTTAACTAAGTGATGGTTAAACTTTGGGTTAAAAGCAAAAAAAACCCCTAAACATAAATAAAAGGGTTTTTTTTTTTGTTTTTAGGCACAAAAGTTTATCCTAGTTTATCTTTAAATTCAACTAATTTATTTTTTATTTTGTATCACTGAACCCACTTATGTTTATGTATTTATCTCTAGACTCAACTTCTAAAATACAATACATACATATTTGAGCCTCCTTAAATTTTTTGAAAAATCCAAACAAATTCTTTCATATATGGACCCCATTAATTTAAAAAAAAAATCTAATTATATCATTCATCTATTCCCCCTCACCATTTCTCAATTAATTTTCATCTCTCTTCCATTATTCTCTTTTTTTTTATTTTTCCACTCTTATGAACCCACAATTAATTCTCAACCACTTTCATGAATCCATCAATTAATTCTCAACTTCATTAATGTGTAAGGTGTGGTTGCTTAGTTTTAGTGGAGATAAAACATTTTCTTAGTAATTTAAGGAATAATTTTGTATTTTACTCAACTACTTAATTTATAGAATTAATTTCTCATTTATTTCATGAAATATATTTCACATTCTTATCCATGAAAATTATTTCACATTTTATAGTTAGTTAAATTTGATTTTAGTTGACTATCTTTAATGAAATTTTGCACATATTTGTTTATTTTTGGTGACAAACATAGATGGATGAAGAATTGTATTGTGCATTGATGTATTTTAGAGAAAATAATTGCTTTTCGAAATTGAATGTCAATGGGAAATAAACATTTCTTATATACTCAATTATTGACGATGACAAACCATATACAGATGATGAAAATATGGTTATTTGGCTGCCAACAATAACAATTCTTCATGGAAGACTAAGAACAAATCACATTCCTTTAGGATTGAATCCCCATAAAGAGTTAAAGTGTAGTAGATATCAGCAATATGGTCACAACCGTAGAACATGTGGACAGCCTATTGCAGACTCAATTGACTTTTATATTCTAACTTTTGGAACATGTAAGAATGCTATGGACAAGTTAGGGCTCTGATTTTCACCCAAATTGGACTAGTTGTAGAGAAATTGAAAGAGAATAGAAGAATGGATTCGCTAGGGCATCAAGAAAGAATAGAGAATGGAGAGAGAATGGAGGAACAATGAGGTTTTCTTCCTTTCTCTTTCGGTGTATTTGGGAGTTTACTTAGGAAAGGGAAGGAAGGGAAAAATTTCCTCTTCCTTCCCTTCCCCTTCATTACACCCCAATTTGGGGTGTAAGAATTTGGGCCAAATTTTTCCTCCATTCCCCTCCTCTACCCTTCTTAATGAAACTCTCAAACAAGGTTAAAATGAAATTTCTCTTCCCTTCTCCCTCTCTACCCTCCATCCAAACAGACCATTTGGGTACAGAAGGGTGGAGAAAGAAGGGAGAGGAGGGAGAACTTATTTTGTGGAAATTGAGGGCTGGGTATTCTGGGGTTTTTACCCCAAAAATGTATAAAGACAAGATACTCTAACAATGAATTATACTGTTTGGGTTTAGGGATAACTAAATTCAATGGTTAAAAAAATTATTAAGTTTATAGATAAATTAGAATAAACAATTGTGCCCAAAAACAAAAACACAAACCAAACTGTCCAACTCATTCCATAGTACTCTTTATCTCCCACTATAAATCCCCATTCCCCTCCCTCTTCCTCCTACTCTCCATTCTCACCTCCTCCACTTCCAATGGCAGAACCATTCACCTGCACTCCTGCTGTCGTCGATCCCTCGACCGGCTTCTCCGCTGAGACCCAGACCTTCCACACCCTCGCCACCCGTCCCTCTCCCACCCTCCACCCTCCCCCTCTCCTTCCCCTCCTTCGCCCTCTCGCTCCTCCCCTCCCCTCCCTCCTCTCCCCGCCCTCATCGACGCCTCCACTGCCTCTTCCCTCTCCTACCCGACTTCATATCTCAACTCCATTCCCTCTCATACTCCCTCAAAACCCAGCTCAACCTCTCAAAAGGCGACGTCGCCTTCACCCTCTCCCCCTCTCGCCTCGACATCCCCATCCTCTACTTCTCCCTCCTCTCCCTCGGCGTCGTCGTCTCCCCCGCCAACCCCTCTCCTCCCCCTCTGAAGTCTCGCGCCTCATCGATCTCGTGAAGCCCTCCATCATCTTCGCCACCTCCGCCACCTCCGCAAGCTCCCTCCTAATTCCAATATCAAATCTATCTTTCTCGATTCCATCGACTTTCAGTCCATGCTGACCAACAAATTATTTTAACCAATCACCATCTTCAATATTCTCCGACCTTCAAGTTCATCAGTCTGATACGGCCAGCGATCCTCTTCTCATCAGGGACCACTGAACACTAAAGCAGCGGCAATTCCTCACCGGAGCTTCATTGCTATGGCCGCAGGTTTCCACGCACTGAGGTCGACCAAGCCTGAGGTGATGCTGTTGATTGCGCCGATGTTCATTCACTAGGGTTTTTCTTCGCGCTTAAAGGGTTGGCGTTGGGGGAGACGACGGTGGTGATGAGTAGAGTTGGGTTTAAGGATATCTTGTCAGCGGCGCGAGAGGTATAAGGTGACGCTGATGACGGCGGCACGCCTGTTGTGGTGGCGATGGCGAGGCTCGAGGAAGTGGCGGAGCTTGATTTGGGAGCGTTGGAGAGGGTAGTTTGTGGTGGTGCGCCGCTGCCGGCGGAGGTGGCGGAGAGGTTTATGGCGCGCTTTCCTCGTGTCGAATTGCAAATGGTGAGGCTTTTAACTTGGGTTCTTTTTTCGATATTACTCCCTTACATTTTTTATATTCTGAAGTCAGTCGCTTACATTATTTAAATTTCTATTAGGTCCCCCGTTCTTAGTTATTTCAGAATTACTCCCTCAAATCAATGAAATTGTCATCAAGTCCTTTAATATTCACAACTTGTTTTAAATTAATCCCTCTGATTGCTACGTATTTCTGCTCTTGATTGGAGGGGCCAATTTTGAAATAACTCAACAATTAAAAGATCTATTAGCAATTTCAATGATTTGAAAGACTAACTTGAAAACTGCTTAAGAATTTAGCAATCTAACAGCGATTTCAATGATGTGAGGGACTAATTTCTAAAATCAAATGTTTAAAGGACTTATATGGAAAATCCTTTAAAGTTATCAACCCAACATCTTATAGTGATTTAGTTTTTTAAACCAACCCACTTCAATATCAACTCTTAAACCAAAATATTGAATATTGAAATATTTTTAAACCGAAATATATCATCTTTAAAGTCTAAATATTAATTGATACACCAAATAGCGCAAGTTAGCCCCGTCAATATAACTGTTGATCCACCCAATATAGCGACTTTTGTTTGTAACAATTTTACCACTCATGGTTATAGCAACTCCAACATTAGGTGGGCGTAAAATAATTCGGTGTGTGTGTGTGTATATTGTAACAATTTTTAAAATAATTCAGTAATATATATATATATATATAATATATATATATATATATTATATATATATAAATATATATATATATATATATATATATATATATGTAAAAGGCTTATGTCAACTTAAAGTGGATAGAAATAAAGTCATACCACCACTTTTTATCCGTTGATTATTGCATTGGGATTCCATGATAGGTTATGAGAATCTTTTAAGATTTGCGCATACTTTGATAACACAAATCTTGAGACATTTTACTATGAGTGGGATAAAAAGTTTTGGTGACACTTCCTCCTATCCACTAAGTGGATAGAAGTTTTACTATATATATATATATATATTATATATATATATATTATATATATATATTATATTTTTATATATATATATATAGAGAAGAGAGAGAGAGATGGTATGTCTTGGTACCAAGCAGCAAATTTGGTGTTTGGTAGTGAGGTGTCTCATTCCTATTCACTTCATTGGTCATTCCAAACCACTCCCCAACACCATGTGAGTATGAGTCCGATATATATATATATAATATATATATATAATATATATATATATATAATATAACTAGATATACTGAAGAATAATTCCGTACCAAATATAGCACCTATAAGAGAGAAAGAGATTTCTCAGCAACAAACTTTTAAAAAAAAATCTGATGACAAATCTGCAGCACACTGACGTTGTGTGACACTATACGTGCACGACATGTATAGATAAAGGAGATAATTAAGGGACTTCGTTTTGGCAACAGGAAGTCTAATTGCTACCAAAATGTTAGGCAGTAAAAAAAAAGGGCGAACATTGCAATTAAACCTAAGTAAATAAAGAAAACAAAAGAAACTTGCACTTACCATGCATTCCAATTTCGGTTAATGCAAGTATAATGTACATGGTTTTTCTAACGGGTCTCCATGGGCACTCTTTAGGGATGAGAGAAATAGGGAGATGTGAGGTAAGAATAGAGATTAGTGCAAATTAGAGGGAGCTGCTCGCTATTCATTTCTGTCTATCTCTCTCATTTTCTAACTATAGTTTGATTTGGGAGCGTTGGAGAGGGTAGTTTGTGGTGGTGCGCCGCTGCCGGCGGAGGTGGCGGAGAGGTTTATGGCGCGCTTTCCTCGTGTCGAATTGCAAATGGTGAGGCTTTTAACTTGGGTTCTTTTTTCGATATTACTCCCTTATATTTTTTATATTCTGAAGTCAGTCGCTTACATTATTTAAATTTTTATTAGGTCCCCCGTTCTTAGTTATTTCAGAATTACTCCCTCAAATCAATGAAATTGTCATCATGAAGTCCTTTAATATTCACAACTTGTTTTAAATTAATCCCTCTGATTGCTACGTATTTCTGCTCTTGATTGGAGGGGCCAATTTTGAAATAACTCAACAATTAAAAGATCTATTAGCAATTTCAATGATTTGAAAGACTAACTTGAAAACTGCTTAAGAATTTAGCAATCTAACAGCGATTTCAATGATGTGAGGGACTAATTTCTAAAATCAAATGTGTAAAGGACTTATATGGAAAATCCTTTAAAGTTATCAACCCAACCTCTTATAGTGATTTAGTTTTTTAAACCAACCCACTTCAATATCAACTCTTAAACCAAAATATTGAATATTGAAATATTTTTAAACCGAAATATATCATCTTTAAAGTCTAAATATTAATTGATACACCAAATAGCGCAAGTTAGCCCCGTCAATATAACTGTTGATCCACCCAATATAGCGACTTTTGTTTGTAACAATTTTACCACTCATGGTTATAGCAACTCCAACATTAGGTGGGCGTAAAATAATTCGGTGTGTCGACCTATGTAACCAATTTAAAATAATTCAGTATATATATATATATGATATCTATATATATATATAGTATATATATACTAATATATATATATATATATATATATTATATATATAATATATATATATGTAAAAGCTTATGTCAACTTAAGTGTAGAAATCAACACTCCACCAACCTTTTATCCGTTTGATCATTGCATTGGGATTCATGATAGGTATGAAGAATCTTTTCAAGATTCCGCATCTTTTTTGCATAACACAAATCTTGAGAGCACAGCATGAGTGGATAAACAAGTTTGGTGGACAATTCCTCCCTATCCACCTTAAGTGGATGAAGTTTTACTATAATATATATAATATATATAATATATATATATATATATATATATATATATAGATATATATATATATATAAGAGAGATGAGAAGGTTATGCTCTCGGTACAAGCACAACTTTGGTGTTGGTAGTAGGTGTCTCATTCCTATTCACTCTTGTCATTCCAACCACTCCCGCACACACATGTGAGTCGATTGAGAATATCGATATATACATATATATATATGATATATATATATTATCATATATATAATAATATATATATATACTATATATAGGTAAGAATATTTCGTAACAAATATAGCACCTATAAGAGAGAAAGAGATTTCTCAGCAACAAACTTTTAAAAAAAAATCTGATGACAAATCTGCAGCACACTGACGTTGTGTGACACTATACGTGCACGACATGTATAGATAAAGGAGATAATTAAGGGACTTCGTTTTGGCAACAGGAAGTCTAATTGCTACCAAAATGTTAGGCAGTAAAAAAAAAGGGCGAACATTGCAATTAAACCTAAGTAAATAAAGAAAATAAAAGAAACTTGCACTTACCATGCATTCCAATTTCGGTTAATGCAAGTATAATGTACATGGTTTTTCTAACGGGCCTCCATGAGCACTCTTTAGGGATGAGAGAAATAGAGAGATGGGAGGTAAGAATAGAGATTAGTGCAAATTAGAGGGAGCTGCTAGCTATTCATTTCTGTCTCTCTCTCATTTTCTAACTGATCGAGTGTCCATAGGCACCCATTAGAAAAATCTTAATGCCCATACATAACCAGTTATAAAACTCCATGACAGGGATATGGGTCAACAGAAGCCGGAGGAATAGCGAGAATGATCAACATGGAAGAATGCAAACATGTGAGCTCAGTTGGAAGGCTTAGTGAGAACGTTGAAGCTAAAGTTGTGGATGTAGTCAGTATGAAGGCACTATCAGTTGGCCAGCAAGGAGAACTATGGCTCCGAGGTCCTGCTATCATGACAGGTACCTTCCATCCCCAGCAGGCAAAAAAGTCTTACTCCCACTATAAAATAGTATTCCTAAAGTGGTTCCTTTATAATGAAGTATTGAAAGTTGCAAAATGGTATTCGATCATCCTTTTCTTTATAAATAAATGTAAAATTTTCTTTTCCAAGAAACATGTGGAAATCTAAAATAAAACATTTTCTGTGTCGGAATATGTTTCCTATAATTTTAGGAATCGAACCGAGTAGGCCCTAATATCGAACCTTAGTTTTATGTGCAACAAGTGCAACTCAATGTATAGTATGACAAGGATCACATATACAATTTACCCTTGCGTATGGTATTTAACAAATTTTCAGGACAATAGTCTAGTGGTAAGTACATGATTTTGCAATCTGAGAGATTTTGGATTCAAGGCTTACTAAAGACAAGTCTGAATATTACATTATTTTCAAGTAATTAATCTCGGATGAGTTCAACTACTTCGCTTAGCTTGAGCTTAGGCTTCGATTTGGGGCTTTGGGGTTTGCACTTCGTACTTGGACGTTAGGCGCTGATCAAGTGGCGCAATACAGATGTTCGCAGGTTATTTCGCATCATGGATTTTAGAATGTTTGGTGACCGTTGGGCCATTGATTTTACTGACATTAATGTGTTAGGGGTTGTTTGTAACTTTTCTGTTGTTATAAAGTGTTTAATTATGACACCAGTTAAGATGCATTCACCTCAACTTAGGTAACACATCATTATAACAGGTGACGCATTTACATGCTTTATTACTTGTCAACCAACCAAAGTAAATTTTGAAAAGTTGCGGGTGGACCTCGCAAACCCTCCACCTTCCATTTCGTTACTTTACTTAAATCAGACCCTTAGTGGTGGTGGTTGTTTAGTCTTCAGAGGTAGTCAGTTAAGTATAATAGCTAAATCTGTTACTTTACTTAAATCATATTTGTGTTTCTCTTTCATATATGACACTTCATCTCGTTTTGTGGTGTCAATAATTACATAATGCTTTGTCGAAAGGTTATCTGGGTGACATTGAAGCAAATTCTTCCACCTTCAGCTCAGATGGCTGCTGGTTGAGGACTGGTGACCTATGTTATTTTGACAGTAATGGTTTTCTTTATGTTGTGGATAGACTAAAGGAGATGATAAAATATAAAGCTTACCAGGTATCATTTAACTTTCATTAATGCAAATAATCAATAAAAGTCTTCTTGATTTTTGAAATATTCAGTATGCTTTGATTCATCTTCAGGTTCCGCCAGCTGAATTAGAGCATTTGCTTCACTCTTTACCAGATATTGTTGATGTTGCAGTAGTTCCGTAAGTATCTAGTTACATCTTCAATTTAATATCTCGTCACTATTTTTGAATTGGGTTAACGTATAACCAATTACACCTTCTAAACTATTTTATTAGCAATTACACCCAACTAAAAATGTTATTGGTTTTGAAGTTACATTGAGATGTCTAAGTTTGAATCTTCTTTTCCCCTTTTTGCACTCCGTTTAATTGAAAAAGGACTCAATTGCTCTCTCAATTGAGGTCCAAAAGTAATGCTGTCCGAAATTCAGGGATAAAAGTGCTCTTTTTCATGAAAATTTTGTGCATTTATGACTGTTTATTCTTGGGATAGTTTTCATTATAACCTATTAATATTTGTCGCCTGGCCTTTAATTACCAATAACAAAACAGGTATCCACAAGAGGATGTGGGACAAATACCAATGGCTTTTGTTGTGAAACAGCCTAAAAGCAACCTCAGTGAACAGCAAGTTATTGATTTTGTTGCAAATCAGGTCAGATTTCAAATAAAATCACATTCATTGTAACTAGAGCTAGTAAATTAATCATAGAAGTTACCTGTAAATTAACTTATTGCTTCTTTGTTTTCTTAGGTTTCTCCTTATAAGAAGATAAGAAAGGTTGTATTCACTAACTCAATACCGAAATCAGCATCAGGAAAAATATTGAGGAGAGAATTGACAAACATTGCTCTCTCTGGCCCAATATCTACCCAGTGACTCGTGCTAATTATTAAGAGATTGTATGTATCCTAACCTTCATCAGATCTTTTTTTATCTTTTTTTATAGAGTGGTGCTTTTTGGCTCGCGATTGGGCAACTCGCGCCCAACTCGCGAGAGAGGAGCAGGATGGTGCCCCTGCTCCTCTCTCGCGAGTTGGGCGCGAGTTGCCCAACCGCGAGCCAAAAAGCATTTATGTTTTTTATATGCTTAAGATTGTCATGTATTCCATGATGTATTGACTTTTGTATACAGATGGATAAAAATTCAATTTTTCATTTAACTTAAGGCTTTTTACATTATTGGGATTATATCTAGTTGCCGTTGCAATTCAACTATAACAGTGAAATGATGATAGATGGTGTAATATCCCCAAGTTTAGTCCACATCGTGTGATGAAAAAGATTATAATGGGTTTAAATGTGAATCTTGGTGTTCAAGTGATAATATGGACTAGTCAATTTTGAGAGTGAATTGAACCAAACAATGTGTTCCACTTCCTGGATTACAAGGTTTACATCAGACCATCAGACCCGAGGTGTGATAATTGGTATCAGAACAGAGAACTGAGGGTTGTATTTGTTACTTTGTAAACTCCAACATATCTTTCACTAGTTGAGCATCCTTTTATCGGACGATGTTAGGACTCATGTAGTATATACTCTACCGATATCAAGCTGTTTTTGCATCTCAATGTCCAAAAATTGGTTGAAGGATGATTTATCCAATGTTGCGATCATGATTTCCATTCACTTCGTTCTAAGGTCAAGAATCAGAAACCTTATGAAGAGCGAAACTTTATTCATTGCAATAGTTACACATCACATATTCTAGACGTTATTCCGCGTATTAAGAATTTAGTCCCATGAAGGCTAAGACCAAGGCACAAATCATAATTTAGATACGGGGTGATTGCTGAGAGCAAGATTTGCCAACTCCCTTCTTATAACCTTTCCAGATGCTGATTTAGGTATTGAGTCAATGAACACGACCTTGCGTATCTTCTTATAAGGCGCGACCTTAAAAAGTCAAAGACAAAAGTTACATAGTTTTATTAGTATAATGCGGTTAAATTTGATTTTTCGTGCATTTCTACGTATGAGAGATGTATACCTGCTTTGCAACATAATCCATTATTTGATGTTGGCTGAGATTGCTTCCCGGTTTTTCCACAACAAATGCTACTGGTATCTGCCCTACATCTTCTTGTTTCATGGATCTTCCAATTTGTTGGAATTGAACAAAGGGCACTGTTCGGTATACTGCAAATTGATCTATAATTACTCTTGTAGGTTGTAAGAAAACGGTAAGATTGCATTTGCATATTTCGTTACAAATATTAATTTCAAAGACGAGTTGGTGTTGCAAAACAAGCTGCTGCCAATTTAACTATAGCGCGTTTATGCAAAATAAAGATCGACATTTGCAATTACAGTTACAAATATAATACAGTTTGCAATGAACAAATAGCTGTGAGGGTAAAAACTGTAATTCACAATATATAAGAAAATGGCTACATTATACTCACGGGACTACAGCAGCATCAGCAACACCTGGTAATGAGTACAACAGACGTTCGAGTTCAGCTGGAGGCACCTGAACATATAATTCAAATTCTAGTTCTAAGGACAACAAAGATTGCACAAAGTTTCAAGATAATGTACAAGTCAAAGTAACAAATAATAAATAAATAAAATAAAAATCTTCAAAGAAAAAAATGTACAAGTCAAAGTGAAATGAATCATACCTGGTAACCCTTGTACTTAATCAACTCCTTTAACCTATCAACAACGTACAAAAACCCTTTACTGTCAAAATAACAAACATCTCCTGTCTTCAACCAGCCTTCGGTATGAAAAGTGGAAGCATTCGCATCATCATCACCAACATAACCTATCAAAAGCATTAACAAAATGTTCAGATCATATGAGAAGTAAAAATGGTTACTTGTGGATAGACCCCTTGTACTATTCGCCCAATTGCAGATAGACCCACTATTTTCTATTAGTGTGGAGAGACCCCTGTAGTATCATGCAATTGTGAATAGATCCCCCATGAGTGAAATTGTTTTTACTCTTTTATTCTCAGAATGTTTATTTGCCAAAAATTAAATTTGCTCTTTTGTTGAGATAAAAGATTCAATAAAGTTCACTCAGGAGTCTATCCACGCGCCAATAGAACTAAAGAGGGTTTATCCGCAGCTAAGCAATAGCATAGGGGGTCTCTCTGCAATTAA